CCAACTTCTTAAATTTGAACCATTTGTCGAATATTTTTATTAACTCTCATATTAATATAAATAATTCATTTATTTTTTTTATTTTTTTAAGTTATCAAATTCACGATTTTGGTCGATCAATGATTATATGGATTAAAATTTTGTTAAAACATAGCTCTAAATCTTTAATTAGTTTCGACTAAATAAAATAAACAAACATTTAAAACCAAATTTATCCACTAATTAAACTAATATGTTAGTAAACCTATTCCCATAAACATAATAAACAATTGTTATCATCAATTAATTCACGCTTTCCCAAACATAATTGGTAATACATGCAAATTAGCATGAATTGTTGTAGAAATGAACTGTCGACGAAATAATTTTCGACGAAATGAACTTTTCGACAAAATGAACTTTCGACAAAATGAACTTTTCGACAAAATGAACTTTCGACGAAATGATTATCGACGAAATGAATCAGACCCAAATATATAATCTTCAAAATGAAAGTCTACACTAAAATTGGAACAACCCGGAACATAATTCATTATTCAAACCCCCAAAAAGAGCAGTTTTCTATTTCGATAATGTGCCATGTTATTAATATTGGGCAAAGGTTTAAAATTGAGAGTGGGTTATTTTACAATTTTATTGGTGAGTTAACATAACACATTTAGAAATTCATTCGGGATAACTACATGGTAGCCATAGGAATGAATTAATTTAAACATCCTCTTCTTCCGCCTCTTAGGTGTGTATGTATATGCATTGTGTTAATGATGTTAATAAACCTTCTTTTAATTATACAATTTTAAAATATTAATGCAAAAATTTTTAACAGTAGAGCAGAGAGAGTATTGTTATTTTATTTTGCGCCCATTATCACTAATAGAATAATTTGATCAATTCGTTGTGTACTCTTATCTCGTGGAAGCAATATATTGATTTATTAATATCTGTCTTATGACTTCCAAATGCTGAAAGAACTTATTCCAACCCAAAATGAATAGTTTGATTTTCGTCTTGAAATGTCAAGTTTCATCTGGGTAATTTCATTGGCGCAACTTTTAATAGTAGTTAATTATTTAATTGATTGAATTAATGAACATAATAAATTATAGACATTAATATTACCTGTCCACATATCAGTATAATTGGTTATTATTAATAAAATTAGGCCATAAAATAATGTAGAGGGGAGAATTTTTATAATCACGTGTGGTCTTACATTTATAATTATAAATACGAGGGATTATTTAGAGATGAAAGCAAACAAATTGAAACTAGCCAAGGCATGGTTTATTATCTGAAATAATTTTATCCGAACATGGTGGTATACCAAGCTGATAGAAGAAGACAAGGTAATTTTATTAAATGATATAAATCTTATTATTAAAATTTGAATAACGAAAATCAAGCATTTTTAGGTAATGATGCTAAAAATATTGGCAACGTAACAAAAAAGAATAAGAGAAGTTAGTAATGAATCAGAACAAAATGATTATTGGGTTAAATTTCAAAGCAAAAAATTAAAAATGCTGGAAGAAGAACTTAAACTTGAAAAGGGGAGTTATATGTAGATATGTAATGATGTCAGCCAGCTAAGTTAAATCGGCTTAGCCAGCTGATTTTCTTGTAAAAATTTTTTTCCTGGAGCTTTTCAAAAGTCAACCTTATCATTGTTTTTTATGATAATAAACAAATAAAAGGTAAATAAGCCTTTTTGATATCAAACAATTGACAATTTTATTAGCTAACTTTTTACTCCAATTGCTTAATATTATCTACAACAAAATAAAACCTAAAGTAGATTTTTATTTAACATTACAAAAAGTTTATTGGAAGAAGATCCACTAGTTTGGTGGAATATAAAGGTATTTTTACCAACCTTGCTGTGCAATACCTGCAAGCACAGCTGGAAATGTGTTCACAAAGAAAAGAAATGGGCTTGGTAAAGATGGTATTTATGACATTCTTTTTTTAAAAGAAAATCCGAAACTTCCTGAATGATTCTTATTTATCCAAAATAAAAGGTTCTTAGGTGATCTATCTAATTAAGGTTTTTTAACGGCTCATATTACTAGTTATATGATTTAAAGATGAAAAGTAAACAATTAATTAAACGATTAGTTCATAAGAATATTTTTTGTGAAATTAATTTTCTTGTTGATTTAAATCATACAGATTAAAATAAAGAATGCTTCTTATTTTTATAGTGTGATAAGTGTTGCTATCTAACTGCGACTAATGATTTATATCTAACCATGACTAGAAATTTTTTTTTCTGCCGTGACTAGATTTCAGGAGTAAACCATTATTAACTTTAATTACTGCTGTAATTAGATTATTTTTTTATTAATTAAATTTCATATATTTGAAGTTTGACAATTTCTTTTATTAGTGACAAAGCTTCAGCAGATTAATATGTGGGTTTTTTTACTGGATCGTGGTTTTTAAAGCTGAATTAGTGAAAATAATAATAAAATGTATTTTGGGCATTTTTATTAAGATAAAAGACTTTTTTTTTCACACTAAAATATGCACATCATAATTTTATTATTCCTTCGCCGGAATAATAATATATTAATGTGATAACATACATTATGTAATAGTAAGGAATTCGATATATTTCCAATTGTATTTAAATTGGATAACTTTCAAAACTTACATTAGATACGCTCATTCCGTAAATAAAGTTTTAGATATTCGGCACGCTTATTGTCTATAGTAATAAGGTATATACACACTTAAGTAATAAAACATTGGTCAGTTAAATTTATTTAAAATGCAAATGCCAAGAGTTTGGTTTTCAGTAAACTGAGCGCAGTTGAAGTTTGGACACAAAGAATTCCTTGATGAGCAAACATCTTGTTCAGCTTCTAATTCTTCATTTTGTTCATTTTGTTCATTTTGGCATTTTCTTCTTCTAATTTTGCAAATAGTGCTTTTTTTAACGCCTCCTCCTTTTTTACTTGAGGCTTGTTGTTCTTGAATTACGTATCCTAAATATAGACCTCTCGATAAACGACCGTTACCGAATCCTAAATGCCGAAATAGTAATAGTCTTTCATTGAATTTTAGTCCCGAAATTGTTGTGTAATTCACATGATTTATTCACATAATTTCTTTACAATAATATTTGCCTTATCGAGAAAAGTTTGACTTTGCTTTGAATATTTAGAACATTCTTTTTTAAAAATTGAAGAAGCAACAATAAAGATAGCCTTCATTCACTTTATCGGTAGTAATATATTTGTAACAATGAAAATATAATACATGAGAATTATTTTGAAATATGATTGGTTATTGGCTAATTAAATCTATTTTTTTTTGCTATAAAAAATCATTGAAAACCATTTTTTTAAAAAAAAAAAATTTTAATTAATCCAATTAATCAATCAACGTAATATATATATAAAATCTTTAAACCTACTATATACGTAATGGCTACTGATAATTTAACATGGCACGAAGGATCAGTTTCATCTGAAGAACGAGAGAAATTATTAGGACAAAAAGGCTTTACAATTTGGTTAACAGGATTATCTGCATCAGGTAAATCTACTATAGCATGTGCATTAGAACAACACTTGTTACATTTGGGATTAGCAAGTTATCGACTTGATGGAGATAATATCAGATTAGGATTAAACAAAGGTTTGGGATTTGGACCTAAAGATCGCGAGGAAAACATTCGTAGAATAGCTGAGGTGAAATTTTTTTGGGGGAGAGAGGGAGGGATGTAAATAAAATTTAATATTGATTTTTTTTTGGGGATTATCCTTTTTTTAGGTAGCAAAGTTGTTTGCAGATTCTACAACTATTGCTATTACTTCATTTATATCACCTTATAGAAATGATCGTGATGCTGCTAGAAAATTACATGATGAATCAGGAATTCCTTTTATTGAAGTTTTCGTTGATGCATCTATTGAAATTGTTGAACAACGAGATCCAAAAGGATTATATAAAAAGGCAAGAGCCGGTGATATAAAAGGTATTTTTTGCAATTTTTTTACTTTTGGGTGGCTATTATTATTTATTATCCATTATTCACTAATTATTTATAATCATTATAATAAAAAGAATTTACCGGTATTTCTGCTCCTTATGAAATACCATTATCACCTGAAATTCATATTAATACAGATAAACTTGGAATTGCTGAAAGTGTAAAGGTAATAATAATAATAATAATAATAATAATAATAATAATAATAATAATAATAATAATAATAATAATAATTGACAATTTGAATAATTAATCATTATTCATAATTAATCGGTTTAACAAAATTTTTTTTAGACTATTGTTGATTATTTAACTGATAAAGAATATTTAAATCTAAAAAAAAAGTAAAGATTTCTTTAATGGAAAACATTTTAAATTAATTTAATAATATATAGATTATATATATATTTATGAGTATAGTAATATACAACAAATAATAAAATAAAATATAATTTATTTTATAATTTATTTTTAAGGATTTGCTTCTTTTGCTGCCCAAGTATTGCTATCTTCATCAAAACTGTAAACCTGTAAAAAAAATAAAATTATATGATGTTTAATAAATTATAAATTTTTCCAATAAACCCTCTCGTAATAATAATAATCAATTCCACAATTATTTAAAAACACTTACAACTCTAGTCATAGGAAAACCTCCATAATCAAATTTGACCACCTCATTTACTTTAAAAACCAATAAACAAAAATTGTCAAATGCGAAATCATGCTTAATTTTCATTGGATCATCTGAAGCTGTCTTTTTATTATCAGTTGTTAACATTGATTCCAGTTTGTCACACTGGAATGCTTCCTTGTTTGCTTTTGGTATTTCGCCTGAAGGTGGCCAAGTAAAAACTACTCTTGTTTGTGATGAGAGTGATGACCAGTAATGACGTCTGATGGATTCCCAATATTCTTGGGATGGAACATTTGATAATTCATCTGACAAGATTTTTGGTGGTGGAAATCTTGTTATTTTGATCGGAGCTGATACAACTACAAAATAAATAAATTCCAATTATACTGATTATTTGAAAGATTGGAAATAATAATGTAATAACAACAATGTGTGATTTTATATTTATGATTATATACTAACTGGAATAAATAAATAAAAACAATTAATATAATTAATAAATAAAATATTCGATAATAATAATAAGCATTAATAATAATAATAAACAGTATAATTTACCTGTAAAATCTTCCACTTAATGTATAAATTTGTTTAGTAGTAGACATGTGCCTATCAATTTGATATAAATTAATTGAAAAGAAATTTAAAAAATGTGAACCAAACGTTATCATTAACCAGTTTATTCATTGATTAATTAATTGATTGGCCTTTTACCATGATAATATGGCTTTTGGGTTTGATTTCACATCACCGTGCAAACTATTATCATTGAAGGCCATAAGAAATATTAGATAGCGTGGATCATCTTTAAGAAAATCTTGAAATCTAATATTATGAGAAGATGGTTCTCCATTACGACGAATGTTTGTCATATTTACATAAACTATCATTATTGTTATTGTTTGAAAATATATTTATATAATAAAATAATAGTAGATTTTTTATCAATAAATATATTCTTTCTTTCTTTCATTTTAGATTATTCATGAAATTGTAAGAATTATGAGAAAAAGAAACAATCATAAAAAATTTTTTTACCAATAGTTCTGTAATTCTTTTTATGACTTTGTTCAAGTACTTGTGTCCAAGGCGTTGAAGTGTCTGCCATTATTATTATTGTTATTGCTACTATATTTAAATTAAATAAAATCTAAAATCGCGTGAATGTGAAAGAAAAAGAAATCAATTTAAGCTTAATAAAATGTAACACTCACCTGACTTTTTTTGGTACATGTCTACTCCTCATGTGTATCAGGTGTGTGTGATCAATTCAAAAAAATATTTTTCCGCCGCGCCCTTTCTTGTGGCTGTCCACAAATCAATAAATAAATAATTATAAATTCTACCAATTCATTGAGAAACTATGTGAAATTGAAATTTATAATTAAAATTTTGGGGTGGCAAATTCATATAGATTTCATTTTTCACGTAATATTAATAGATTGAATGATAAGTGATTAGAGTTAGATGCGCAAAATTAAAATTTTATATACATAACGATAACCGATAATAATAATAATAATAATAATAATAATAATAATATAAACAACGAAAATTTCCCTTTCTCCTGTATCAGCAAGATTATCACCTCCCGATATGTTTAATTTTGAAACAAAAGAATAAACATACACAATCGTCATGGCAGCAGTACATAAAAACATTGACAATGTCAGGATAATATCCATTGCCGTTTATTCTTTTACATGACGGATGGTTTTAGCATGGTAACAATATTTATTGTGATTTCATGATTTTCAACAACTGCCATTGAATCCATTTACATCAAAATTTAATGTTAAACATTATAACTGCAGCATTACTCGTATCATTAATTTATCCACCTGCGTTCTTTTACGGGAGGATTTCGACCTAGCGGTAATGAGTTAGTAATAGTGTATATTATCAATTATAATCCAAGTTGACAGGCACCACCAGTAACTTCATGCTAGACATATGAATTAGTGACCCTGATGTTGATCTTAAACTCCTTGTCCCATTGTTATTATTATTATTATTATTATTATTATTAGGAAATTGTTGTGTTCAATTTTTCCGAGGTACAATGGGCTTACTTAACTGGTTATGTATGTGGTAAGCGGTAACTATATTTATTATTATTATATAAAACCAAAGGAAATCAACTCGATCTCGCTCTTATTGTTATTTGATATTCACATTACCATTGAAACTGTTTATACTAATTTACTATATAAAACTTTCTCGAGAGAAAAAAACTGAATGTGAATTGGATACTAATACAGAAAAGTTCGAAAAATAGAAGTGATAGAAGTTGTAACATTAGATAAATGCATTACTATTTATTTATTTATAGTTATTATTATATATCATTAACAAGTTCTTTGGAGAAGATTTAATTTCAAAAACAAAAAAAAATTGTTTTTGCTGCACAAATATGCATAGTTTCCAATTTGATTAGTTGGTCACATACAATAATAATAAATTATTAACTTATTAAAGTTTACATTCAATATTTAAATAGGAACACATTATTATAAATTAGTCAAAAATATCATCCCGTTGATTGACATTTTTACCAAAGATGTAATGACCAATAAAGGCACCCAATATAACACTTATAATAAGAAATACATTGTAAGTCATAAATATTAACATTATGAAAAGTGACAAAGTTATTTGGACAGAATAAATTGATGCTCTTAAGAATCGTTGATATTCAAAAACTCTAAATGTATAATAATCATCATAGTTAATATATATATATATATATAGTTGATTATTGTGGATGATTAATATTAATTGGATTTTTTTACCTTGTACTGTTTGAATTTATAGGAGCTTTGTTTCTAGGTTCCTCCTCTTCATTTAACGCAACTAAATTATCATCCTCAGCTACTACTGAACGATATCCTCCTTGATACAATTTCTTGTCATAATTTTTTGATAAATATCTTATATATTCATAAAACATACCAATTAAAATAACAATCCCACATGATACAACAAGACCTAGTATTGAGTTTATACGCCACCATGAAAAAACAACACAAAGATGCTCTATGTCCCAATTAAATAACATCTATATAAAATAAAATTACAAGGCAATTAACTACATTATGGAGATTAATTAATATTGATTAATTAATTATTATATATACCCTCATATAGCATTCTTTCTCTGTGTCAATTACTACACCATTTGCTAATAAATGATCCATTGTTATTATTGTTACTATTACTTACTATATAGAAGTAAATTTTTATATAAATTGGTGTTACGTTTTGTGTGACACGTATATACTATATTTCAATAAATAAATGACATCTTTACGTTTGATCATTTTTATTTAATTTGATTCTCCGAAACTTACTATTATTAAAATCAGTAAAGAAATAGGCATGGATAAGCCCAATACAGGCTCTGCAATGAGAAATCTGACGTGAGGGATGGGACTCTGATTTATTAAATTGCATTGATTTTTTGGAAATCTGTCCAGGTCACGTGGGGTAGATATTTAATACTGTAATAAGCCCCCACTCCAATCGTTTCTTCTGTAGAAAAAAGGGTCATTACAATATTGGCGAGATTCTACTATTTATTCAATGATAGGTGTGTGCAACTAAAAACAAATACCAACCGATGAGAATATTTTTATATCAACCTCATGAAAAAGAATATTATTAAATGATTAGCTAATGGAGATTAATACTAATAAAAAAAGGAAATCATAAAGTATTATAGTAATCAATTATTATACTTGTTAAAGGAAAATATAAGTCCTTTCATTTGTAACCCACGTCAATACAATAAAATTCCAAGCAATACTTGGCAGATTATTGTGATAAAACTTATGCCTATCACCTCGCCACTATGCCAATAATTATATGAGGACCTCTTAAAGGCAACATCAGAATATAAGAACAATACCTCAAGAAAAAGTTAATTGTAAATTTAAAGCTTCAAACGAGCTGAGCTTGCTCGAGTAAAAGCTTGAGTCAAGCCTGAGTTGAAGTATTAGCTCGACGTTCAGCTCGAGCTTGAATTTGATTTATACATTTATGAAAAGATGTTAAGTTAGCTTAAACTCAGCTCATTCAAGGATTTAAGTCTAACTCTTGTTTCAATAGAGAGGCTAGACACATGAGGTTTTTCAATAAAAACTTTGAAAATTGTATTGTGAAAAATTTTTCGTTTTGAAACTTCAAAGGAAAATTTTACTATGTAAACTGTGTATGGTTCTAAACCAAAGACGCTTTATCTAAATGAGTATAAAGGTAGTATTAATTTAAATTTGGTTTTTTTTTTCAGAGTTTCACGCGTTTCTATTGAAGAGCCCACATAAAAAATTGCATTATATATTGTGATCACGGGATCTATTATATAGTCAGAACTCGTTAAGTGATGTTTTGATAAAACGAATATACACGATATAAGCCGATTCTATTAAACCAAAGATTATTTTTGTGAAAGCATTGATTTCGGTTTAATGAGTTCTGGCTGTACTAGTATTAGTATATAAGAGAATAAATCAAATTCGGATTAATAAGAATTTTATCTCAAAACTTGATCACAGTATGGTATCTTTTTTAAAAAAATGAATTATATATGATATGTTAGCATAATAAATAAATATTAAATTTCGAGTTCTGGCCGAGTATAAACTAGGCTCGTTCGGAGCTTGTCAGCAAACAAAACTTCATAGTGAAATTGTGAAATTTTTGAGAAACAGCGGCAATTGATTATAATGTTGATAATAAATAGTACAAAGGATACTAGCAATGAGAAATCAAATGACTGTGAAAAAAATCCAAAACAATTTAATGATAATTTTTTCCTTTTGGGAAAATGAATAGCCCATTGCAAGAAGAAATCTTAGAATTACAATGGCATACATTATTTTGTGGCGGTACTTTTTGAGATTTGGGCTGGTGCAAATATGTATTATTATACACATTAACATTTAATTGATCAGGTAATTAGCTTGGAGATTTGGCTTGGTGTCTGGTTTGTTCAAATTATATAATATAATGTAATATATTTTTTCAATTAACAATCAAGTATATTCGTTAAAAATTATTCTTTTGAAAAGATGCTTTATATCATTTCCTTCATGCTTTGACAAATATGACCATGATGAAACAGTTGAAACACGGATTTGGATACTTATCACTAATATTAGGACATTGTGAGAAGTTATGGCCATAATATTGACAAGATGTATTATTTTTCCATGGTGAATTTTATTAGCAATTGTTGTTGTAGCACAACTAAAAAAGCCAAATTATATATATATAAGTAATAATAGGAATTTGTGCGTTAAATTTTGTGTTTCATTATTAATGTAATTATGTTTCTATTTATGTCACACGTGGATTAAATTTCTTTGATTTTTTTTTTTATTTTTTTTCAAATATAAACCTTTAATATGGAGAATGATTATGAAACAATCATTTTAGATGATGATAATAATAATATTAAAAACAACAAAAATTCGATTGAAATATTTTCAAATTATGAAATAGACAATATAGAAAGATCTTCGTTATTACAACAAAGGTCTAGTTTACCTACCTCTTCACCTTCGATAAAATCTCCTTATACTAGTTTAACAGTAAACATTCATGGTGATGATAATGATAATGTCATTACAGATTTTGACAGTGATATCAATAACAATGAGTCAGCTGTAACGTTACTAGCACAAAATAACAGTGATGATGAATTGGAAAATTCTTCAACAAAAGAAAGCATTCTTCTATCACCGCCTAATTTAATAAAAGACAATGATAATAATAATAATAGTAATAACAATAAACCAAACACTTATAATTATATTTTTAGTTGGGAAAATATTTTAAAAAATCTTTCTTACATACTTGTTTGGTATTTTTTCTCTACTGTTTTATCATTTTACAACAAGAATTTAATGGGAAAAGATAGTTTCAATTTAAATTTACCATTACTTATAAGTGTTATACATGCCGGAATGCATTCTATTATATCTTTTGTTTTAATGAATGATATTTTACCATTTCTTTATGAAAGAAAAAAAGGAAAATCAATATCAATGCATAGCTATGTCACTAGAGTTGTGAGTTTTTTATTTTTTATTTTTTATTTTTTTAGGGGGAGAAGGAAAATTTTTTAATAATTTTTCATATATTCCTCATTATTATTAGATTCCATGTGCTGTGGCTGCTGGATTGGAAATATGTATGGCTAATGCATCTCTTGTATATGTGACACTCAGTTTTTATACTATGGTAAGAAAAAAATTTTAGATGCTTAATTATCAATTAAGAGAGGGAGTGTGAGTTTTCCAACCTTTTTATCCCTAAATTCCTCATCTAATTAAAAATTCATATGATTCCCAATTTGTGTTTCTTCAAAGGTAAAATCATCTACACCAATTTGGGTTTTGCTTTTTGCATTTTTATTTCATTTAGAACAACCAAGAATTTTGCTTATATTGATAATAGCAGTGATAAGTATAGGTGTGATATTGACAGTAGCAGGAGAAACAAAATTTGATCTTATAGGGTTTTTATTAGTGTTGAGTGCAGCAATTATTAGTGGTTTGAGATGGACATTGACACAAATATTGTTGCAAAAAGAGGAAGGAATAGATGATCCAATTTCAACACTTTATTACATCTCACCTGTAATGTTTGCCTTGATGCTTATTCTTTCTTTAATATTCGAAAATCCTTTATTCGTCTTTAGTACTTCTATGCATTTCCAAGATTTTACAACTAGCTTACAAACATTTGGTTTGGTGCTAATAGGTGGCTTGCTAGCCTTCTGTATGACTGTGGCTGAATTTGCTTTAATCAAAAATACAAGTACTGTCACACTATCTGTAGCTGGCATTAGCAAAGAAGTGCTTATAATCACTCTTTCTGTCATTATTTATCATGATGTAATGACTTCTATAAATTTATTGGGGTAATTATATATATATATATATATTTTTCTGAATTAAATAATTTTTTTTATTTGAAAATTGTTTTCTAAATTATGATTTTTTTTTTAAATGATTTAGGCTTGTAATTTCAATTTTTGGAATAGCAGCATATAATTACTACAAATTACATAAATCAACTGATACAAATCATTATCAATCATTGCCATTAAAATCTTCATCAATAGACAAATAGATTAATTGTAATTGTAATTATTATTTACAACTATTATTTAATTGGACAATTTTTTTTTAAAAGAATAAGATTATTAAACAATCAATTGTTGATTCGTTGACGAATCATATATTATCAATGTAAAAAAGTCACTAGTTAATAATATAATAGAACATCATATTAAACATCAAAAGGCTATGTAGCAAAAAGTATAATAAATTTTTTAACTTTAATCAATGTTATCATCATCTACACAGACCAAAACTATATAGCTTTGTCATTAATACTAGGGGTTGGCACCGTTAACCGGTTAACCACCATTTATTAATTTTTTTTTATATATTACTGCCAAACCTCGTCACAACGGACCTCGGCACAACACATTTCTTGTTACAACGGATTTAAGTATTGTCCCCTTATTGATGGGTCTTTCTATATGTCTACGTGACATATAAATGTCCAAATTACCAAAATTGATAGAGGAAAACTGCAATTCTCCCTTTGGAAAATGAAATATCTAATAATGAAAATTGAAAATTCAAGAAATATAGTCGAAGAGATTCAAAATGATGTTAATAATATAATAGTTGTTGAGAGTAACACTATGTCTAAAGTTTCAATGAAAGATGCCGTAATTTTCTTTGAGATAGCTTTTAATTTTCTTCAACAAGGTAATTTAGAAATAGATTGTAAAGAATTTAAACCATTTAAACCATTGAAAAAAGTGAAATTATTAGATAATACAACCAAATATTACATCTTATTTCAACAAATAATTTTCATTTCCGTATGTATTATTCATTTATTCATTTATTTATTTCTGTATTTAGTTTATTAATTTATTGCACTATACCAAACCTCTCTATAACGAATTTCCCTTTTGTCGCTGTCTCCGTTTCAGTTTTTTATAATTAATTTCTCCCTATAATGAACAAAAGCAGAAAAATGCATATATTGGACAAAAGGTTCGGTATAGAGTGAGAGCTTTGTATTATTAAAAAAATTTTGCCCGATCAATTTTTCCGCTGCGGACTTCTTGTCATAATAATAATAATAATAATAATAATAATAACGGATTTTTTTGGCTGGAACCATGAATCCGCTGTGGCGAGGTTTGACTGTAATCATTTAGCATCTATTAAGTGTATAATAATAAAATTCAACAGGCACGTGATTATTTTGTAAGTAATAATGGATAAGCCCAATACAGGCTCTGCAATGAGAAATCTGACGTGAGGGATGGGACTCTGATTTATTAAATTGCATTGATTTTTTGGAAATCTGTCCAGGTCACGTGGGGTAGATATTTAATACTGTAATAAGCCCCCACTCCAATCGTTTCTTCTGTAGAAAAAAGGGTCATTACAATATTGGCGAGATTCTACTATTTATGGATAAGCCCAATACAGGCTCTGCAATGAGAAATCTGACGTGAGGGATGGGACTCTGATTTATTAAATTGCATTGATTTTTTGGAAATCTGTCCAGGTCACGTGGGGTAGATATTTAATACTGTAATAAGCCCCCACTCCAATCGTTTCTTCTGTAGAAAAAAGGGTCATTACAATATTGGCGAGATTCTACTATTTATTCAATGATAGGTGTGTGCAACTAAAAACAAATACCAACCGATGAGAATATTTTTATATCAACCTCATGAAAAAGAATATTATTAAATGATTAGCTAATGGAGATTAATACTAATAAAAAAAGGAAATCATAAAGTATTATAGTAATCAATTATTATACTTGTTAAAGGAAAATATAAGTCCTTTCATTTGTAACCCACGTCAATACAATAAAATTCCAAGCAATACTTGGCAGATTATTGTGATAAAACTTATGCCTATCACCTCGCCACTATGCCAATAATTATATGAGGACCTCTTAAAGGCAACATCAGAATATAAGAACAATACCTCAAGAAAAAGTTAATTGTAAATTTAAAGCTTCAAACGAGCTGAGCTTGCTCGAGTAAAAGCTTGAGTCAAGCCTGAGTTGAAGTATTAGCTCGACGTTCAGCTCGAGCTTGAATTTGATTTATACATTTATGAAAAGATGTTAAGTTAGCTTAAACTCAGCTCATTCAAGGATTTAAGTCTAACTCTTGTTTCAATAGAGAGGCTAGACACATGAGGTTTTTCAATAAAAACTTTGAAAATTGTATTGTGAAAAATTTTTCGTTTTGAAACTTCAAAGGAAAATTTTACTATGTAAACTGTGTATGGTTCTAAACCAAAGACGCTTTATCTAAATGAGTATAAAGGTAGTATTAATTTAAATTTGGTTTTTTTTTTCAGAGTTTCACGCGTTTCTATTGAAGAGCCCACATAAAAAATTGCATTATATATTGTGATCACGGGATCTATTATATAGTCAGAACTCGTTAAGTGATGTTTTGATAAAACGAATATACACGATATAAGCCGATTCTATTAAACCAAAGATTATTTTTGTGAAAGCATTGATTTCGGTTTAATGAGTTCTGGCTGTACTAGTATTAGTATATAAGAGAATAAATCAAATTCGGATTAATAAGAATTTTATCTCAAAACTTGATCACAGTATGGTATCTTTTTTAAAAAAATGAATTATATATGATATGTTAGCATAATAAATAAATATTAAATTTCGAGTTCTGGCCGAGTATAAACTAGGCTCGTTCGGAGCTTGTCAGCAAACAAAACTTCATAGTGAAATTGTGAAATTTTTGAGAAACAGCGGCAATTGATTATAATGTTGATAATAAATAGTACAAAGGATACTAGCAATGAGAAATCAAATGACTGTGAAAAAAATCCAAAACAATTTAATGATAATTTTTTCCTTTTGGGAAAATGAATAGCCCATTGCAAGAAGAAATCTTAGAATTACAATGGCATACATTATTTTGTGGCGGTACTTTTTGAGATTTGGGCTGGTGCAAATATGTATTATTATACACATTAACATTTAATTGATCAGGTAATTAGCTTGGAGATTTGGCTTGGTGTCTGGTTTGTTCAAATTATATAATATAATGTAATATATTTTTTCAATTAACAATCAAGTATATTCGTTAAAAATTATTCTTTTGAAAAGATGCTTTATATCATTTCCTTCATGCTTTGACAAATATGACCATGATGAAACAGTTGAAACACGGATTTGGATACTTATCACTAATATTAGGACATTGTGAGAAGTTATGGCCATAATATTGACAAGATGTATTATTTTTCCATGGTGAATTTTATTAGCAATTGTTGTTGTAGCACAACTAAAAAAGCCAAATTATATATATATAAGTAATAATAGGAATTTGTGCGTTAAATTTTGTGTTTCATTATTAATGTAATTATGTTTCTATTTATGTCACACGTGGATTAAATTTCTTTGATTTTTTTTTTTATTTTTTTTCAAATATAAACCTTTAATATGGAGAATGATTATGAAACAATCATTTTAGATGATGATAATAATAATATTAAAAACAACAAAAATTCGATTGAAATATTTTCAAATTATGAAATAGACAATATAGAAAGATCTTCGTTATTACAACAAAGGTCTAGTTTACCTACCTCTTCACCTTCGATAAAATCTCCTTATACTAGTTTAACAGTAAACATTCATGGTGATGATAATGATAATGTCATTACAGATTTTGACAGTGATATCAATAACAATGAGTCAGCTGTAACGTTACTAGCACAAAATAACAGTGATGATGAATTGGAAAATTCTTCAACAAAAGAAAGCATTCTTCTATCACCGCCTAATTTAATAAAAGACAATGATAATAATAATAATAGTAATAACAATAAACCAAACACTTATAATTATATTTTTAGTTGGGAAAATATTTTAAAAAATCTTTCTTACATACTTGTTTGGTATTTTTTCTCTACTGTTTTATCATTTTACAACAAGAATTTAATGGGAAAAGATAGTTTCAATTTAAATTTACCATTACTTATAAGTGTTATACATGCCGGAATGCATTCTATTATATCTTTTGTTTTAATGAATGATATTTTACCATTTCTTTATGAAAGAAAAAAAGGAAAATCAATATCAATGCATAGCTATGTCACTAGAGTTGTGAGTTTTTTATTTTTTATTTTTTATTTTTTTAGGGGGAGAAGGAAAATTTTTTAATAATTTTTCATATATTCCTCATTATTATTAGATTCCATGTGCTGTGGCTGCTGGATTGGAAATATGTATGGCTAATGCATCTCTTGTATATGTGACACTCAGTTTTTATACTATGGTAAGAAAAAAATTTTAGATGCTTAATTATCAATTAAGAGAGGGAGTGTGAGTTTTCCAACCTTTTTATCCCTAAATTCCTCATCTAATTAAAAATTCATATGATTCCCAATTTGTGTTTCTTCAAAGGTAAAATCATCTACACCAATTTGGGTTTTGCTTTTTGCATTTTTATTTCATTTAGAACAACCAAGAATTTTGCTTATATTGATAATAGCAGTGATAAGTATAGGTGTGATATTGACAGTAGCAGGAGAAACAAAATTTGATCTTATAGGGTTTTTATTAGTGTTGAGTGCAGCAATTATTAGTGGTTTGAGATGGACATTGACACAAATATTGTTGCAAAAAGAGGAAGGAATAGATGATCCAATTTCAACACTTTATTACATCTCACCTGTAATGTTTGCCTTGATGCTTATTCTTTCTTTAATATTCGAAAATCCTTTATTCGTCTTTAGTACTTCTATGCATTTCCAAGATTTTACAACTAGCTTACAAACATTTGGTTTGGTGCTAATAGGTGGCTTGCTAGCCTTCTGTATGACTGTGGCTGAATTTGCTTTAATCAAAAATACAAGTACTGTCACACTATCTGTAGCTGGCATTAGCAAAGAAGTGCTTATAATCACTCTTTCTGTCATTATTTATCATGATGTAATGACTTCTATAAATTTATTGGGGTAATTATATATATATATATATATTTTTCTGAATTAAATAATTTTTTTTATTTGAAAATTGTTTTCTAAATTATGATTTTTTTTTTAAATGATTTAGGCTTGTAATTTCAATTTTTGGAATAGCAGCATATAATTACTACAAATTACATAAATCAACTGATACAAATCATTATCAATCATTGCCATTAAAATCTTCATCAATAGACAAATAGATTAATTGTAATTGTAATTATTATTTACAACTATTATTTAATTGGACAATTTTTTTTTAAAAGAATAAGATTATTAAACAATCAATTGTTGATTCGTTGACGAATCATATATTATCAATGTAAAAAAGTCACTAGTTAATAATATAATAGAACATCATATTAAACATCAAAAGGCTATGTAGCAAAAAGTATAATAAATTTTTTAACTTTAATCAATGTTATCATCATCTACACAGACCAAAACTATATAGCTTTGTCATTAATACTAGGGGTTGGCACCGTTAACCGGTTAACCACCATTTATTAATTTTTTTTTATATATTACTGCCAAACCTCGTCACAACGGACCTCGGCACAACACATTTCTTGTTACAACGGATTTAAGTATTGTCCCCTTATTGATGGGTCTTTCTATATGTCTACGTGACATATAAATGTCCAAATTACCAAAATTGATAGAGGAAAACTGCAATTCTCCCTTTGGAAAATGAAATATCTAATAATGAAAATTGAAAATTCAAGAAATATAGTCGAAGAGATTCAAAATGATGTTAATAATATAATAGTTGTTGAGAGTAACACTATGTCTAAAGTTTCAATGAAAGATGCCGTAATTTTCTTTGAGATAGCTTTTAATTTTCTTCAACAAGGTAATTTAGAAATAGATTGTAAAGAATTTAAACCATTTAAACCATTGAAAAAGTGAAATTTTTAGATAATATAACCAATATTACATCTTATTTCAACAAATAATTTTCATTTCCGTATGTATTATTCATTTATTCATTTATTTATTTCTGTATTTAGTTTTTTAATTTATTGCACTATACCAAACCTCTCTATAACGAGCACTAAGTAAATTTCTCTATAACGAATTTCCCTTTTGTCGCCCGTCTCCGATTCAATTTTTTATAATTAATTTCCCCCTATAATGAACAAAAGCAGAAAAATGCATACAATGGACAGAGGGTCGGTATAGAGAGAGAGCTTTGTATTATTAAAAAAATTTTGCCCGATCATCATAATCACCAATTTTGCCGCTGCGGACTTCTTGTCATAATAATAATAATAATAATAATAATAATAATAATAATAACGGATTTTTTTGGCTGAAACCATGAATCCACTGTGGCGAGGTTTGACTGTAATCATTATCATCTGTTAAGTGTATAATAATAAAATTCAACAGGTGCGTGATTATTTTGTAAGTAATGAATGATCGAGTTTACCAGTTAAAAAATTACACGTGACTAAATTAACTGGTTAACCGGTTAACTCTTAATTTTAACGGTTAATTAACCAGTTAAAGAATTTTTGCATGGTGCTGTTGTACGTGAAAATGAAATTATGTGAATTCGCAATTCACATATGTGAAATTCAAATTAGCCAATCAGAATTTCACCCTAAAGACTAGTGCCGTAAATTATGATGATGATAGTAATTGTATTTACGGCATATAAAAAGTGGTTGCAATTACCTTTGCGACCACTTTTGCAACCATACTTATTCCTTTTTTGGATTACGGCACTAGTCTTTATTTCACCCCATTCCATAATATTTCAATTTCACATACAACAGTTGCCAACCTCTAATTAATACTGCGGAAGAATTGATACATCAACATATAATGATGAATTAAATTATTTAAAAAATGCATTTGGTGCATATGTTTTTGCAAGGCATTTATAAAATTTATCATCTGAGACAGTTTTTCTACCTTTCCATGCACACTAGATTCTTTGTTGCTGGATGCTGTCATTTCTTGTGAGCCAATCTCAATACATTTGAATTATTCATTGTCATTATTATTACTCATCTCTTCTCCTTTAATCCAGATGATTTTTGAAATATGGAATTGGATTCTTCAAGTTTGCTATCCAATTTGTAACAATTATCACTTCAGAAATATTCACAAATTTGAATTTTGCCATTAGTGGTTATTTAATCAGTTTTGTTTGCATTACCTGCTAAAAAGTACTTCTTGATGTAAGATCTTTGTGCTTTCCGATGTCTATCCCTTTTTTAATTCTACAAATTCTTATTAAGATTATAGAAAAATTTTAAATATAATAAATATAATTTTTATTTTTTATTTTTTCTCGCATTAATAAAACTGTGACAGCCAGATGAAATTCCTTCAATATTAATCCACTCTTATTAATCAATATTGTGTAATAGTTTAAACCAAAGAACAGATTCTCAGTTCCTTTATACATCACAAAAGTTCCCTTTAAAGCAGATAGATATTGATGCAATAAAACCTTCATTTGAAAAATTTTTTTTTTGGTAGAGTGACAAGTTTATGCATATATTGTACTGTTAAATAATAATCAAATATTCTTATTTTATTTTCTTAAATATTGTTTTTCAGTCTGTCTGTATATAATCATTCTTTAACACCACACCAATATGATTAATATGATTGAACAAAATTTAGAAAGTCATGCATTTATTATGTTACATAAAACAATTTTAACAGCCCATATCTTTGTAAGTGAATATAGTTTTTTACTTAGTTTCAGTTTTCTGTTATTTAATGAGTGGTCCTGGATTGTGGGTATAAAATTCATACATTTAAATATAATTAGAATGTGTCCCATAAGAATATATTATTGAATATATATAAATTTATTTCTTTAATAACCATAATGACTTTATTTAATTCTACTGTGTTAATTATATCCAGAAAAAACTAACAGTAATCATTACATATAATAATAATAGGGAAATTTATGATATTAATTTTAATGGGTTAATAAACTATCATGGGTCAAAAAATGGCAAAACAGCTACATTTAAACCAAGAATTATTGAGGCATGTAAAGTTGGTGCCTGCAACCAAGAAATTACAATTTGGGATGTTTCAACCAGTGTTGAAATTTCATTGTATAACTAGTACAAATTTAGAAACTATCTCCAAAAATTAAAAATTTGATTGATGTGTAATGTTACACACAGGCATTGCGGGCATTGAATTTTCAACACTGGTTTCAATGAGTAATTCAACTGTGCCCAGTGAGTAAATTCAATGGTGACACAATCTACATGCGCACATTCCATAATCGGAAAAAAAATTTATTTTATAAAATATACAGCAGTTTTTTCGTAATAAAAAAAATAAATAAAAAATGACATTTTGTAGCTTAGGTTCTTACAATTATGCTTAAAGTTTTTTGTAATATTGCGAGCGTGCAATCCGAGTTTCCTAATTAATAGGTTATTTATGGTTCAACACTAAGGTTGCGGGAGAAACTCCTCCAGAAATCAATTGACAGAGTTTTGACAGGTTACACATTAATTGTTTATTAGAGTTTTGGCAGAGTTTCGCATTTGGGTTTTTCGCCAATCATCAGAGTTTCGACAGGTCACACATTAATTGTTCATTAGAGTTTCGACAGAGTTTCGACAGTAGTGTTCCTATGAACCAAACCGAACCGAACTTCAGGCCATGTTCAAGTTCAGTTCATCAAAACTCAGTTCAGGTTCAGTTCGGTTCAATAAAGCAAAGGTCAGTTCAAGTTCAGTTCAAATTTAAAATTTTCAGTTCAGGTTCAGTCCAAGTTCGGTTCAAAGTTCATGAACAAGTTCAAAGTTCAATCATGTGATGTCATTAATTAATAAAAGAAGTGCAAAGTGCAAAGCACATATAAAAAAATATAAAGAGGTAATGATGACAATAATGATTATGATGATTATGATTATGATTATGATTATGATGATAGTGATGCTGATGATGTTGTTGGTAATGATTCTAATAGCATTAACAGCAATACAAATACAATATCTGAATCAGAGAATTAGGAATTCAAAAATTTTTTTATAACATAAACAATAATAATTTCTTTTTGAATTAACACATAGTATATACAATTTCATCTCTAACAATAACCAACAATTTTTATACAACCAATTTTTTATACTAATAAAAAATAATGAATAAATTAAATTACCTAATGAAATTTTAATTTTGGTGAAATTTAAATGCAAAGTAATTTAATGATATGACTTGCTTTATTTGCTTGAATAAATTCCCAACTTCTCCTTCAAAGGCCCCTGCATCCATGATTTAAGACATTGTCCTGCTCTTACAGTCTTTGGTGCCAACTTACATCTTTTATCTGTGATCATATTTTTACTTGAAGAAAAGAGGCGTTCAGAGGAAGTGGAGGTTGCAGGAATTGAAAGATAGTCACGGGCTATACAAGCAAGATGAGGAAACTGTTTCTGATGGGCCTACATATGTTATTTACTAACTGACATTAATATGCATTCTAACAACTTATTCATAATTAACATATTCTTTACCTTCCACCATGCCAATACATCTGTATCCTTATTTGCTGGTTTCTCAGAAATATAACATTCAAGTTCATCTACATCATTTTCATCTTCATCAAAGTCTGCATCTAGCATTGATTGTGTGACTGTCCTATTGGTGTTACTATTACTATCATTAATTGATGATGAATTTGTGATAGATATGGATGTTGATGTATAATGTATTTCAAGGAGATGTCGCATCCTAAACATTAATTCAGTGAATTAGAATTGAGAAATATGGGTCAAAAAACCTTCAAAATTAGATTGCTTACAGCATTTTTGTTTCACTGATATCATCATCTAGAAATCCTTTCTTTGTAAAATAATAAAGCTTTCTTCTTGGATCTAATGCTGTACACAACATCATAAACATATTTGTTTTTGAATAATATCATACTAACTTATCTCTTGCTGCTTTAGCTGCTATCTGAATTTTCCCAGTCACTTCACCTTCACTTAAATCTGCTGTATCTTCAACATGATCAATAATAATATTGAAGAGAGGGATGATAAGGTAGGCTGTACTATATGAGCTAGTTGACATCTTTAACGTAAGGTCTTTGAATGGTTCAAGGAATTCAACAATTTTTTCAAGAGTAGCCCACTGTGTATGAGAGATGGCATACTGATGAAGGTCATCATGAATGCTAGTGAGGGTGTTGAGTGCCTAAAAATTGTTATCAGAATTTTGAATTCTGACATCTGAAATGATAGGAAGTTAAAAGAAAAACTTACTGGTTTAAGATAAAGACCATTCCTAATCATATCATGTGTAGAGTTCCAACGTGTAGTGCAATCAAGGATAGGCTTGAGAACTTTAATTTTGCATGCATTGCAAGCATTTTCAAGAAGTTCAACCCGTTGAGGTGAGGTACGAATAGCAGAGTTGAGTTCCCTAATCTATGAGAACATTTATAAAAAAAAATAATGAAAGAATATATCTTTACCATGTTAATATCTTCTTTCACTTTTCCAAAGCTGCCTGTACTGCCAAATTAAGAACATGATCAAAACATCGGAATCGAATATGCTCCCAGTTCCACTCAGTCTCTGTTTCTTCTCTTAATTTTGTTGCTAATTCCCGTACAAATGTATCATTATTAGAGGCGTTGTCCAAGGTAATAGCTTGAAACTATTAAGAAAAGAATTATAAAAATGATAAAATAAAATGAAGAAAACTTTAAAAAAGACCATATACTTTTGATATAATGTCATAATCCTTCAACACATCAAAAAACCCATTAGCAATTTTTACACCTTCATGTTTCCCTTTCATCAAACCAAAATCAACAACTGTCTCATGAAGGACCCAGTCATCATCAATGTAATGAGCTGTGGCGGAAACAAAGGCCTTGTTATTGGGAGAGGTCCAAAGGTCTGATGTAAAAGAAATTTTGGAATTTATAGTGGAGAGGTACACCTATAATGCCACTAATGGTTATTAACAAAAAAAAAAAAAAGCACAATGCAACAATGGTAAAGTCTACCTTTAACTCTCTTTGTAAAGTTTCATAATTGTATTCTTAATTGCATCAGCCTTCACTGGTTTGACATTGGGATTCAAATATCTAAATATTTCAATAAGTTCAGGATCTTCTGCTGTGAGGAATGGACGTTGACAATTGATGAGCCAAATGGCAATCATATCATGAAATTTTTCATTATCAATAGTAGTGGAGGAGTTGACTGGAGACACAGATGACTAAAATACAATTAGTATCAAAATTGAAAAAGGAAAACAAAAAATAATTCAAAAAGTAATTTACCTTTTTAAAAATTCCTCTATGTTTCCACTTTCTATTTGTGTTTTTTTCTTTTTTTTATAATATTCTTCAGTCTTAACATAAACCATCCAATGTGAATTCTCCAAATGATGCCAGAGTGGCCTTGTTGTACCTTCCTTTCCACAGGAAAAAGCATTGTGTGTACATTTTGCAATTATACATTTTGCAATTTTTTTGTCCTTTCCCCATTCGATTTTCTCAAAATAATTCCATACCTCACTTATATGATTACGTTTGTTGGAGAAAATTAAGTTTTGTGAATCTTTATTATTATCAGCATTAGAGGATTGGGATAAGTTTTCGGAGTACATGGTTATGTAAGGGTTTCAAATTAATGTATGATATATATATAAAGACCTGGATGCTTTAAATGTTTTACAACTCAAAAAGTACCAGTAGTTGTCATTACAGGAAAAAATCATGAAATTAATGATGAAAAATGATGGTTCATTGGCATAAAGAAACAAGAAGAAATTTTTTTTTTTATTTACTTATTTATTTATTTTTAACGGAAAAAAAAATTTTTTAAATATTTGCAGTGTTACAATCTTTTTCTAAATTTCATTGCAGATTATTAATTTATTTCAATTAAAAAGAAAGTCTGATTAATTAACACTTATTAATAATGGCATGAAAAAAGATTTTCTAATTAGAATTCCATTTGATATTTTAATATAAACTTTTTGAAAATCTTGCTGATTTTTTATAATCATGTAGTTTGCTGTTTTTTTCTGCCATTTTTTTTTGTTGGTCAATATTTATCACGTCCAAAATTTGTCACCGAAAATATATTATTCTCCCATAACATCAATGCTAATAAAAAAATTATTTTTGGCTTGCCGTATTTTTATTATTATTTATATTATTAATGGAAAAAAAAATTTTTTTATTTTTGATAATATTTTTGGTGACCAGCTGTATTTATTATTATGAAAAATATATTTTTGATGACCTGCCGTTTTTTTATTTAATTGAAAAATATATTTTTGGTGACCTGCCGTTTTTTTATTTAATAAGAAAAAATATATTTTTGGTGACCTGCCATTTTTTATTTAATAAGAAAAATATATTTTTGGTGACCTGCCGTTTTTTATTAATATTAATATTAATTCTAAAAAAAAATCATGTTTTTTTATTGTAAGTTTTTTATCATTTGTTTTGATTCAGAGGAAATTATCTTGCATTATATCTTTTTTCAAAAAGAAAACCCGTTTTTTTTAAATGGCAAAAACGTTATTTGCTTATTGAAAAAGTCTGGTGATTTTATAAATTCAATTTAAATAATAAAGTTCATATGATGACTTTCTATTACTATAATAAATAATGATTTAAATATCTTACTCTAATATTTAATTAAATTTCTGTATAATAATAATAATAATGGGCTCGTATAATATATCACTTACCTAAAAATTTTAAAAAATTTATGATAAATAAACTTATATGATAAATAAAACTTATGATGATAAAAAAAACTTACATTAAAAAACGATTTTTCTTTAGAATTAATTATATATTAATCTTAATAAAAAACGGCAGGTCACCAAAAATATATTTTTTCTTATTAAATAAAAAACGGCAGGTCACCAAAAATATATTTTTCTTATTAAATAAAAAACGGCAGGTCATCAAAAATATATTTTTCTTATTAAATAAAAAACGGCAGGTCACCAAAAATATATTTTTTCTTAAATAAAAAATGGCAGGTCACCAAAAATATATTTTTCTTATTAAATAAAAAACGGCAGGTCACCAAAAATATATTTTTCTTATTAAATAAAAAATGGCAGGTCACCAAAAATATATTTTTCTTATCTGTTATTAAATAAAAAATGGCAGGTCACCAATAATATATTTTTCTTATTAATTAAAAAAACGGCAGGTCACCAAAAATATTATCAAAAATAAAAAATTTTTCTTCCATTAATAATACTATTAAATAATAAATAATAATAAAAATACAGGCAGGCCAAAAATAATTTTTTTATTAGCATTGATGTTATGTTAATTAGAGAATAATAAATTATATTTTCAGTGACAAATTTTGGATGTGATAAATATTGATTGACAAAAAAAAATGGTAGAAAAAAACAGCAAACTACATGATTATGATTTTTTTCTTATTTGTTAGTCTTTTAAACTCACTAACCAACTGTTGTTCCAAAAAGGAAATCTCTTTCAGGCCTGTTTTTATTATATTGGAATATAGAAATATATATATAGTGCAAGTCACTTAGTCACTGAACTTTTTGTGTTTTCAAAGATTGTCAAATGCAGATTTTATCCACAAAATTCAGCTCTAATAGTATTTCATTCCATGAATGACTTATAATTTATTTTGTTGTAAAAAAAAATTTTTATTTTTTAGAATATTGGTGTATCAATACACAGTGTGATGAAGTTGCTAAAAAAAATCAAAATCACTAGTTATTATTATTATTTCTTTCTGAACAAGATCATGCAATGTAATATAACAATAATCCAGGGGAATTGCAATTTTCATTATAAGAGATATACAAAAAAATTTATACCTTCACATAAAATCTCAACCAGTCACGTGATTGAACCTTGAACTTGTTCATGAACTCTGAACCGAACCTGAACTGAACCCATGGATAAGTTCAGGTTCAGTTCAAGTTCAGATATTATATGTTCAGGTTCGGTTCAGGTTCAAAAAACAGCAATATGAGTGGTTCAAGTTCGGTTCAAGTTCAGGGTTCAATTGAACTTGAACCGAACTGAACTGAACCTAGGAACACTAGTAGTGATGGTAATGATGGTGGTAATGGTGGTAATGATGGTGGTGGTAGTGATAGTAATAAAAGTTGGTAATAAAAAAAATAAAATTATTATTATAAATATATTTTGTTGATATTTAACTTATTCCAAATGATCTGATAATTAAATTCATTAAATTGAATAATAATATACCAAACAAATAATTTCTATTTTCTAAAAATAAATAATTAATAATAAAAAAAATTTGATCGCGTAACGGATTGTACACTGTCAGATCGTCAGATCGTTCAACCTTTGGAACCTTTAATAAATAATTAATAATAATAAAAATATGATCGCGTAACGGATTGTACACTGTCAGATCATCAGATCGTTCAACCTTTGCAACCTTTGGAAAAAGAAATAAATATATTAATATAATCACACATACCTTTTAATAATAGCAGTAACATCAGTGCTTGTAATCTTGAAATAATTGTCATCTTCTGGTCAATTGATATGATTTTAACTCATATATTATTTATTTACATTAATATATAAATGCATAAATAAAACCATTAATATCATTAATAAAATTTCCTTTTCTTTTAACCATATCAATAACATCTCCATCAGATCCTGCTAATGCATTAATAAATAAATACTTTTTAATTAATCATTACACTTCTAAATATATAAAAAATAGATTAATGAAGCTAACCTTTAAAAATATTAAAAAAACCAAATTAATTCCATTTTATTAATAGCCATTCTTGAAAAGAGTCCGTTACGCGAATTTGTTTTTGTTTGAAAATATTAAATAAATTTTGTTTGATACAATCTTCTATTTCATCCAGCAATGTATATTAATATATTAATATTATTAGAAGTTAATACTTTTCTATAAACAAATTATGTAATTTAAAAAAATAAACATTTAAAGATTGGAAATTAGAACTTAACTATTGCATTTATTATTATTATGTAAAAAAAATTAAGCCCAAAGATTGAAAATGTGCATGTTATCCAATTTCTTAATTTATTATTATTATAGAACTTATAGAACTGGTAGTCCAACTTCATGTTAAGATTATCGCTTAGTGGTATTTGTTTACCCTGGCAAAAAATACATCAAAATAAAGGTTTTTTCATATATTTGTTATTTTTTATGATTCAAGTAACAATTTGATTAAATCAGGCAAGTTTGTGTATGAAAGCGTGATTTTTTTCTTCATTTTTTCATATAAAATTCCGTGTTGATCAAAAATTTTTTATTAGTGAGTGACACTTGACCCCCTGTAGATCCGCAATGTCCTGCGACTGCTACCATTTAATATTAATATTAATATCAATACTTTTTAGAGATTTTAACATTCCAATAAATAGGTATTTATTCATGTTGTTATGTACATAGTATATTTTAGAGAATACCCTCATATCATAAATTGTTCTAATGAATCCATAATTTAAATATATCATCCTACAAAAATAGAAATTACTTTATGGACTATACACTATTTTATTAGTTTATTCATTTTATTTTACAAATTTATATATTAGCTTACAAATCAAATATTACAATTTATTGATAATATTAAGTCTAAGAAAAATAACTACAATCAAAATATAGATCATACATACATTTAAAAAATATATGCATTCGCTCGTTTACAAATATAGGCAAACAACAAATTTATTTATTACAAAAAAAAAAATAAAAAAATAGTAGATCAAAACAAAAACCAAAAATCATACAAACCATCCCAAGTAAGGAAAAAAGCAGTGTTACGGGATTTGAGTAATCTTTTATAAGTGTTAAACAAGCTTTTAAACGAAAACGTGACAGCAAGCTTCGTGTCTTTTACTCGCACAACGACATCACTCAGGGTCAAGACAATAATAGTCTATTTTATCAATTCAAAAAA